ATCAGCTGGGGAACGTCTAGGTGGGTGCGCACATCAGCTGGGGAACGTCTAGGTGGGTGCGCACATCAGCTGGGGAAGCAGAGGCTGACGTGGGTCTGCTTGGGCCTTTCAAACTGAGTCTTGATGGATAAAGGAGTTACTCAGGCAAAGATGATGGGAAAGTGTGAGTAGGACTTTCACACAGAGAAATGACTGGAAAGGTCACAGGAGTCAGAGTGGAGAGAGGGTCAGAGGTTGGAGGAGAGATTCCTGAAGCCATGTATTCCACTGAGGGAATGTGAACTTTCTCATGAAGGAGGGGCGGCACAGCCAGCCACATTTCCATCTTAGGGTGGTCCTGTGGCTCGGGCAGCAGCGATGGGCCGCAGGGCTGGGGTGGGCTCCTGTGCTTACGGGGATGTATGCACACGGGGCTGACTCTGTCTGCAAAGGCAGAGTCTGTGAGCAAGGCTTTTTCTTTCACTTCTGCCCTCTGGCAACGCAATGGTTCATGGGGATGGCTGTCCTGCTGCTCAGTTGTGGGCAACTGCCGAGGAAGGGGCGGCCCGGGGCTAGCCAGCAGGTGCTGCTTCCAGAGCCACAGGACCTCCCACCCACAGACTAAGAGTGACGGTAATCAGCGAGCAATGAGGAATGCTTCCCTGCCCCAGCAGTCCTCCTAGGCCTCACTGCCACATCTGTGCTGAGTGTCCAGCTCGTCTGGGTGAGGCTGGGCTTGCTCAGACAGTGCCCTGAAGAATGTCTGATGTATCATAAATATTTAGGTAGAAAACTTAGCTAGACTTACCTGGGTTTGAGTTCTCTCATTTGATGAAAACTCATTTGATGAGAAGTTCAGACTCTGTTTGGCCTCTAGGAGAATTGTTGACTGAGATGCTGGCCAGGTTTGAGTTCTTCAGTCCCCACAAATTTCACTCTCACTCTCGCTCTCTCGCTCTCACCTGATACGAATCTTTGCTTCTAACAGATCTTGTTGGTCAAAAAATTTCATTTATTGAACAATAGCCCCTGTGGCTGATCAATAATTTTTTTTGCCCTTTCAAAAATGTTAAGAATGATGCATGCTGACAGCTCCTGGATCAGGTCGGAGAATCCCTTAGAGGGTCACCCTTCCTGCTTCAGCTTCAAACACTGGCACCTCCACAGCCAAAAGTAAGTGCACTCAGGTATTTCGGGCCCAAGGACGGGAGATCAGGTGGACCTGGCACAAGAAGACGCTGCAGTCTGGAGGGCTCTGTGTCCCTGGTGCCGTGCCCTTCAGGCCTGTCATTCTCAGCAGTGCACACTTCAGGCAAGGCTGGGATGGAAGTTTCCTGACTCTTTGATGGGGACATACCTTGTGTTTAAAATTTACAAGCACATTATTAAGGCTGTAGAAGACCATTTTTATGGTGATTGATAGCTTGGTGTGTGTGTGTGTGCTAGTTCTTCAGGTTGCTGTGAACGTGCTCCAGGCTATTATTATCATCTCTGTAGACTTGATGATCAAACAGTTGTCAGGGAAGGTTTTTGTTCAAGTTCAAATAGCTAGTAAGTGACAGCATTCTATAAAACTTCTTACACATATGAAACCACGTGATTTTTACCTATCTCTGATGTAGTTATTATCTCCACATTGTAGCTAAAGCAACTGAGTTTTAGCAAAGTTAAGAGGCTTGTTAAAGGTCATAAAGCCAAGAACTGGACACATGGGAGTTAAATTAAAGCTTAAAGTTCTTTCTTCAACAGCTGCTGGCAGGAAAGCAGCAATCAGGCGACAGCTCTCCCCTGCCTCAGCATCTGGCAAGCCCTGCAGAAAGGCCCTGGTTTGCAGCACTTTGGCGGGCAGGTGGAAACCTACCTTGAATGTCATCATTGAACATACAGTACTTGTTGCGGTATTTGTTGAGCAGGCGGAAGGCATTGGCGTTGGCGAAGTCCTCAAACTGGATGAGGCAATTTATTCCAAACCTGCAAGGAAAAAGAGGAGGGGGATACACGATCAACTTCCCTGGGGAGTATCCTTGGCAGATGGCAGGCTGCAGGGAAGTGTAGGGAGGCTCAGGCCACCAGGTTGAACGTGGAGGGGTCCCTATGTGCCTGATTCAGAGCCCCTGGGTTCTGCCTGCCCCATAACTGATGAGGATAAGAAAGGGAAGGATATTATAGGTGTGATAACTCAGCAAAATATTCTAAAAGAGTCCAGGAGCCCATAATAGCATTGGGTCTTCCGCTTGACTGGCAGTGTCAGAAATTGTTGACCTGAGCCCCACACACAGCTCAACATAACAGCATGGGTTTACTTCTTCTTCTTCTTCTTCTTCTTCTTCTTCTTCTTCTTCTTCTTCTTCTTCTTCTTCTTCTTCTTCTTCTTCTTCTTCTTCTTCTTCTTCTT